GACAGTATGTTTGCACACAGTTAGATTGTATGGTCTGCTTGTTGACTACAGAGTTTCACTTTCTTCCCCAACCACAAAATAAGTTCAATCCCTGTCCACGAACAACTAACCTTGTATGCATTGCGAGTTTGGCAGAAATCACCAAATGTCGCAAGATATAAACGAACGCATAGGGATCTTTAATTTATTGGTCTATCAATTATGAATAGACGAACTGTCATTGAGCGATGAATAAATGGAGACAAATAGGCACTCGGAACACCAACTAAAATAAACACTTCACTCATATCTATCGACGACGTACATGCGAGATATTGACATCTGAAAATTAGAGTCATTTTGCACGAGTTCGGTCAGTACATGTATATTCAATTCCTTTTGCAGCTTCGTGTATGATTGCATTGATTCGCATTTGGCCTCCAAAAACTGCCTGAGCTCAAAGTTTGCACAGTTTACTTGTTGGAGTTCCTACTCGATCGAGCTATCCTCTCCAATTTTAGCCCGGAGCAAGAATTTCCTCTTTATCGGCTTTCACATTTCCAATGTTCCGTCGCTGATTGTTGTTCCGGTGTTGATTGAACCGTCCTCTTTTGAAAAAATGAAATTAGAAGTTGTTTACTCTCGTATTTGATTAAATAATCCCTCTCATCATAATTTGGTGATAATTCCGTTCATATGATGGAAGTAGGCCAATGTTCTATAGAGTGGGCTAAGTATCTAACGCGGAAGGAACGCATTTTCATTTGTTTTCCATTGAACACGTTGTATCCATCTCCAATACTCAGACAGCCATGGATAGTCTTTATGATTGTTTGTTGGAAATGGATGGAAAGCATTGTTTAACAACAACGGATGCTAGTTCCTCTGCCTGTTAGATAACACCGCTGGCGAAGAAGAACATGTCTGAATAGTTCTAATCGTGTATCGAATAAGTTGCTGATGTCTATCTGCATCCGTAGCAGGCCACATATGAATTTTTCCACAAATATTGTTCAAACTGAGGCACGCACAAATTTTAATAATCAGAGGCTGTGCACACCTCGAAAATCAGACCGCTAAACTGCCAACATTATTATTGGTATAACAACGAGCTGCCTGTGTCTCAAAGATTAACACAAACACGCAAGAACTCTAATCTCGGTTTGAAACCAGTAGCACTTTCTGTGTTCCAATTCCAGATTACTTGTGTCTGTCAACTGAATGGGGCATGCTCCTTTCGTCTAATCGACGTAGACTAATCTGAAAGTCGACCGGTTAGGTGAACGCATCCGGGGCTCAGTTTGCAGTAATCAGATGGATGGAAACTATCCCTGCAGTCCATTAATTTGTCCGAAATAAATGGGACTGGTTGCGATCACGTACTGGAGAAAGGTATACATACTATACGGGTATAACTATAGTCCGCTTGGGTGTATCAGCTTAATCATACGGATTTGGCCCACTATCCTCATATAAGTCAGTTAAATATGATTACACATTTGGCTCGCAGCATACTGAAGTACAATTGAGATTAGATTACCCTTTAGGCTTCATCTCCACACGCAATCCTATGCATCCAGGCAACTTTCTTGCGAATTATAATTCCGGATGATTTGATGAGCATCAGGAGCACTATAGATAGAAAAACTCATTTTTTTGTGATTTCCGAGTTCACGATAAACACGACACACTAGGGTCTGTGAAAAACGAGGTTAGGAAGATCATTCACCGAAATTTAGATGTATTAACACTACTACTTATGGGTAGCTACAAGTCAAATCGGATAATACGTCCCCCGGCGCATAGGAGACGGGAAAAATGCGAGATCGTGGATTAATCCAAATACAAATTTGAATCCAAGATATTATTTACCGATATACAATTTTACTTCCATTTTCAGTTCAGGTGCATCTCACTCTTACGGTTTTAGCCAGATAGCTACAGCATTGTTCGCTCTGGTTCAGATTACCCAGTAAATCACTATGTATCTTGGTGCACATGAATAATGCATGCGCTGAGAAACAAATGAGCAAAGTAACGACAATGACCTTTGTAAAGTGTATCCATTGTCACGTCAGTGGCCAGGCGAAACGTTTGCGACTGTTCCACTGGATAAGGATGGAAGAACTATTTTGAGGGGAAACAAAATTAAGATGGCCTGTTGAACCATTTTGGTCAACAAGGCCAAAATGTTGATAGTTACTTTTGGAACGTTTCTTGGTTTACGAGTTGTAAAGTGTAGATTAACAAATAGCCGTCCATAGCTTTCTTCCTTCCCTTCATGTTTTGAACTCGAGAGTCATCACATGAAGCTTGAATTAGCCCGGTGCCAGCTCTAAACAGGGCCAAAAAGCGATATATCTTTATCTGGACGTTACCTCTTATCACATTCAGTTAATTGAATGCCGATTCATAAAGAGAGACCACCCTTCGATTGGCCGCTCCTCCCCACTTGAAAATTATCATTGTTTTCAGTACAAGGATGCAAACGAGGAAAGATACTCCCATGCAGCCTTCGAAGGACTAACAAACCTTAGGCGTCATTATGACCTTACACTAAGATTAACCGCGTGTGCCACCGTCTGACCAGTTCTGCATTATGCTTGAACAGATATCCATTGAATCACATTACTGCACTGTGACTACACCCTAAGAGAAGATAAGCCAGTTCTATGAACGCGATGCTTTGTGGCAACAGACTTGCCCAGCGTAACTTGACATTTTATTCGGTGTCTCTAGTCACCGCAAAACTCAATGTGGACTGAAAGGCAACAGTGTGTTAGTTGCCAGTGGCTACATAGAAGCCAATTCGTCATTCGTACATGTCTCTGCAACCCGAGGGTCCAGGCACCCCCGTTAATTTAGCCGACTTCCTTCATAACCGTTGGGTCGGTAAGTGTCTTTGTATGCCGTAAGCCTCGGTTACCCTCAACCTGACTTAGCCCCTCTATGGAGCGGTTCGCCGGGATACGGCCGCTGACGAATGCCACAGCTTCATGGAACCACAGGTGAGAGCAGAGCACATGATGGAGACCAAAACGGTGGAGGATAACCCAGAGGAACTCTATAATCTACCCATTTAGAGTTGCCACTCCCAGAAATTTCATACAACCGGTGCTACGGTATACTGGTGCAAGTGGTATGAGGTGGGCAAGTTGGTAACCTAGAGTTAAGCCGTCGTGTTTGGGAATGGACCCGTGAAAAACCTATTCAGATTAGTCGGCTACGTTGGTTAGGACGTGCACTGCGCGTCACTGACGGTCGGTTGTTTGCAATTGCCACTAC